TACTCTTTCTGGCTTTTCATAACACCACTAATCCTCCCTTTTTTTAACCCCATCATTCAATTTTCTCCCAACACGTCTCCTATGTCTCTATCTTTCCTCTATAGATAAATGACATATTTTACAGCCTCCAGCAAAAAATAATGAAGAAGATAAATTATTTTAGATTTGTGCTGCGGGCTGCATTAATGGCACTTTAATACATCAAGTGCTGACTTTTTTTGGGGTCAAGAGTGTTGACTTCACCTGCTAGGAAATTACTTTATCCTAGTTATTCTCCCAATGTGCCAGTTTATTTTCTTTTCTTACGTGTTTTTAAGAAATTTTTTATGTTTAAAATGTTTCCTGAAAGAAATGGCAGTCAAGCGTCAATATGGTGCCCAGCAAACCATTCACCATGGCACCAAAAAGTGAAGGGGCTTGCCAGTTACCATCATACAACCATTTACGACAACAGCATATAGTAGTACATAAATAACACGTTGACACATGACTTACCATAGTAAGAATATCATCTATAATTCTAAAAGGTAGACAGTGTAGGTAAATTATAACCCTTTTCAAGAATCTTAAATATATACACGGTACAAGGACATAAGCATCAATGGAAAGGAAGCTTCCCTAAGTATTATTGCACATTCCAAATATATTTATTGGTTAATTTAAAATTTTCAAGTAAGTCACTGCTTAAAATTACCTGATGGCTGTTGGTTCCAGCAACAAATTTACGGTGATTATCTCTGCTTAGAAATGTAGCACATGTAAACCAGGTAGGGGTGAAAATACCGAGGCTGTTCTTAGGAGGCTGCATGGCACAAAACAAATGGTAATATTACACATGTAGGAAAAAGCAAAATATGATACAGTAAAAGATAATATGGGTGGGAAAAAACATAATTATTGAAAGAGCAAAAATTTAACGCAGACTCACAGGTTTGGCATTCCATATCTTAGTGGAGCTGTTGAGATCCCAAAGATTAACTTCAACGCCTTTCCTATGCGATAGACATAAGCAATGGTTAGAATATTTCAGCTCAGAAATCCAAAATAAGATGACAGACATTCACTGCTAGTGCTTATATTGGTTTCTCATAAGATTTTAAAAAGCACCTCTCTCTCCATCATTTTCTTTTGGCTTCAAGCCTTTATATTAATGCAAAATCTTGCTATTTTATATATTTCTACTTTGGAGGTCTAATATTTCATAGAATTTTTTTTCCTCTCGTAGCCTTATCAAACATACAGTGGAATTGCTTTTGCTTCTTAAAACTCCCAAATAACTATAATACATTGCAAGTGCAAGACTTTTTCACACTTAAGAAACTAAGAAATTTGAGCAACCACAAAATATCAAAACTTTCAATTTGGTCTATAAACTTGATAACGTTAGCACAAATGAACAGTTGCCATTCCAGAAGCAGCATAAAACTTTATAAAGTGTGTCTGTGATTTCATATTTTGTGTTCTAGTAACTCCAAGCTAAGTAATATATGTTTGCATTAAGAATTAAATGAAGATTAACTACTTAGAGAAAGATACCTATAATTATTTGCCTGCAATGTCTTCACAAGTTTCTACAGATTATTACAAAGGTCGAATATGAATGCACAATATATGGTTAAGGTAGTAAGCCAGGATTTATGCAGAAGTTCATGCTCTAGCATCTGCGGCAGCATATGATAATCTTCAAAACACAAACATGATTATCTTCTAATAGTTATTTTAAGATAATACAGGTTATCAATCATCCAAGAGTTCACAACATTGTTTTTTTTTCTTTAATGTCCTTAATTCCTTCTAGTTCGTGAATTTTACAATATTGAGGGAACTATCTTTTACTTCATTCCCTTATTTTCTACCCATAACACCCTTCTTTATAAAAGTTCAAGATAAATAATTTGAAAAGTTTAATACTGATAGTATTCAATTAATTATTACAGCTTATACGCAATACTCATGAAAATTGCAATGACTCACCCTCCAAACAAAGCATACTTCTCACTTCCATCCACCTTGCAACATGAGATGTTACCGCCAGCACATACATTCCATGCTGAAGAACTAACACACGCAGATTCTGAAGATGAACTGGCCACATTAATGGACTTTACACTTGCATTTCCCTTGGCCGTGCAGGCAAGCAAAGTACAAGACCTAACAAAAGATACTAAATCTGAATTAACTTTGAAGCTGCAGCAAAGAGACACAGCTAAGACACACATGCATAAGAGCATCACGACATTAAAATATATCAACCATGTAAGCATGAGCATACAACCAATGCACCACCAATATGAAAGCCAACAACCTTTTTGACTTACAGTTACACAACATGAAGATAATGAGTATGTGTGTCAAGAACTATCAAAAAAAGGCAAAGGAAAAATAAACAAAAAATCACTGTGATAATCATTTTTTTTAACTAAATTGAGCATAAAAATATAGCACAAGAAACAAGCATAACATACAAATTTGAAAAGTTAAATAACAAAGGCACAAATAATACCTGGAAGCTAACTCTAGGTTTTGCTTTGCAAATAAATGCAATCCAACAATAGCATTTTCTTCAGACCGGATATCTGTAACATTTGAATTTAATATTGCAGCCTGAAGATCTCCATTTACAGGGTTCAGAACCTCAACCTATAATGGATGTGTAGATTGAGGCACTTGAGAATCTAACAATAAAGACTGAACACCAAAACATGGTAAGGAACCTTCAATGATATTATGAAAGAACTACGTACCCGACCATTTCTCCTTGCTACAGCTAATAACTGCAATGCCAGAGAAAAGAAAATAATGAGAGAATAGTAATTCATGTTTCTCCTTTGTATCTTGTCAACATAGCACATACCGGGTCAGCCTTGCGGTGAGTGGTAGATACGGCAGAGACGCAATTGGAGGAGTCTGGTTCACCCCATCTATCGACGACCCGTGGAACTCCAGCTTCCTTATCACGGGCTTCAACAACTAACACAAACAAAAGAACCGAAAAGCGAATCAAAAGAGTGAAGCAAAACAAGATGCGAATTTGGAAGAGCCAAGAGATGAGTATGAATGTATGATCAATCAACCACCTTTAATGAGCCCAAGTGCGTCGAAAGTTAGAGCCCGAAACGGAGGGCAACCAGGGCATTCAATGGTGGTGGTTCGCGGCATCGTTCACGGCGCTGCCGGCAGAAATTTTCAGTTCGATGCGCTTCAATTTGAAAGTAGCTCTTTGGGTTGAGTGGAGGTTTTGAGAGTACCTTGCAGTTGCGGCCAGGCTTCTGTAAACGGAAGACGGGAACTTCGAGTTACAGATCCTCTACGGTTTGAGCGCCAACCACATGCGTGATGTCGAAAGAATCTGGACCGTTCTTGTGATCTTGCTGAGAATAGAATACCACTTGTTATGAATATGAATATGAATATGAAAAGAGAATCAGACATTAAATTGATTGAATTATAGTTCACCGTTCAAAAATAGACTCAAAGTTAGACCGAGGGGGATCATTTATAATTAAATTAATATATTTTAAATATTATATATTAAAAATTATAGAGAAAGTGATAAAATAAAAAAATCTAATTTAGATATAAAGCGATAATCCATCCATATTTGCTTATGAAAAAAAAAAATCCCACCATAATTCAACATTCAATTTATCTTTTAAATTAAATTCTTTAAAATCATGCTGAAACATCTCCCTCAACTCTTACTACATCAAGTGAATCCAAAATAAAAGACTACAAAACATTCACATATTCAACAATACTTATACATATATTTCAGAAAAAATAATTAGTATTAATATATAAATTATGTATAAATAAATTATAAATTAAATTCTACTTTAATGTAAAAACTACAAAGAAGAGAAGCATTTTGCCATATGCACATATCCATAAAAAACTACTAAGCCAAAATTTATAGAATTAAAATCAGCATTCAGCATCTAAACTCAAATGACAAAACCATTAATTAATAGAAATTAATTATAAACTATGAAGTATAAATAACGAGCAGTCGGAGAAATCATGAGCTCTGACCCGTTAATGAAGATATCACGAGCTGGAAGTCACGAGCAATTGGAGAAGCTGAGAAATCACGACCAGTTGGAGAAGCTGAGAAATAACAGGCAGTCGAAGAGATCGAGATTCAATACCAGTCGATCACGAAGAGGCTGAAGAGATTCTCAAGAACGAGGAGTCTGATGACTGAGACGGTGAGACGGAGACCTGAGATGAGTGTGAGTTTGCGAGATTGAGGAATACTCCCTCGATCCTATTTATAAGTCATTTCTACCAACCTCATCAGTATCAATATAATAAAAGTATAAAGAATAAAAATAAGTAAAATTTCTAACATATACCTATATAACAAATCTAAAATGTAATGTTCTATTATTTTTTCTCTCTTATCAAAGATAATTTAAAAAATATCTTTCAAATATTATTTAAAAAGACGCACCATAACTTATAAATGAAATCAAATAAATCTTTTAGAATGAGATTTGTAAATGGCACTAAAGGGAGTAGAGGAGAAGAAGATGCCGTAGGGTTCTGCTTCAGCCGTTCTGGTTCAGTGGTTCTGCCGCAGAACTTTTGTGTATGCCTCAACGCGAGCAACATGAAGATGTGAGCTTTAGATATAGGAAATTAGGAATTTACTCATTTAGGATCCGTTTATTTTGTATCGACTACTAAAAAAACCAAAAAAAAAAAAAAAAGAAAGCAAAAAGTCGTCGTTTTGCCATTTTGCAGCAAAACGGTGTTACCGCAAAGCAATAGTAAACTTTTATTCCTTCTTAGTTGATACCGAGTGTTCTGAAAGGAAAATTATTGACCTGAATTTTGAATCTGGCATAAATTAGCGGAGAGTTCCCTTGCGTGACTGCCGAGAGTTGAGGAAGTGAAAAATGATTTGGTGAAATTAAGATAATTTAAGAGTTGGTGTTTGTGCTAATAGCTGAACCTGGCTCATCTACAAGCTCACTTTCTTATTCCTATTGAATGATGACCTTTGTGAGAAGATGATTTTTATCTGGGGCTTGGAAGGTTAGAACTCAGATTTTGTAGACTTGGTTGCAAACATTTCAGTAGCGGCCTTTAGTTGGCATGATATTGTAATACTGATTTCTCTTTGCCGGAAATTATTGAGATTTTTGTGTTTTTTTTTTTTGGCCCAAGTAAAGTATTAGGAATTGAAAACAGGGGTTTGGGATTTTATTGTGCCACCTTTGCATTTATCACTTGCTTGAATTGACTGTTTAAATTATAGATTGAATGGATCAACCTTTATGAAGAATGGGCAGGTATGTCCGATAGGCCACAACAGTTCAAATTACTTTTAAACATCGTTTTTTTTTCCTTGCAAAAAAAGAAAAAAGTACATTGATGTTAGTGTCATTTCAAAAAAGTTGTTTAAATTGTTTCTTGTATCTATTTAAATTTTCCTGCTTCTTAGTCCATTCAATTTACCTTTATTTAATGGTTAAATTAGATTTCTGAGAGTGTGAAATTAGGGAAACAGGTGTGTTACACACCTAATGAAACGCGTGATGTTATTTTGCTAGTGAATAATCTATCCACAACATAAGTTCATTTTGAACATGGTTGTCTGATAGGGATAACTTGATCTTTTGAAACTGCAGAACGTGCTAGAGCATTTTCAAGTATGAATTCTGCGTGGAACACTTCGGACAAAAATTTTAATGCTTCCCATGGTTTTAATCCGGACTCTCAAAGAAGTGTAAACCTCCTCAGCGAGAATGATTCTGAGACGAAGACGAGTTCCAGGCCTATGGACTTTGTGAGAAGAATTGTAGGGACAAATGGTAAGGGTGTTATGGGGGCTGCTGAACTTTCTAGCTATATTTTAGAGCATGATCATGATGTTGTTCATATAAAGCTATTGCTTAACAATACCTTTGTTACTGTGACGGACTCTAAAGGAAATGTAAAACTTAAGTCTTCAGTTGGGTGTCTGAAAGACATGAAAGTAGGACAAAAGCTTGCCAGGTATGCTGCTGAAGCTACAGCTGAAGAAGTTGGACGAATGGTTAGGAGGTTGGCACTGAAATCTGTTGTTAAAGTGAAAGGATTTAATTATTTTAAGAAGAAGAGGCAGGCAATGGAGAGCTGGAGAGGGCTTTAGTAATTCTCGAGCAGCTAGAAATCCAATTGTGTGCGTTGAAGATACGACTCGAATTCCCCATAACGGATGGCGGCGCCCTGCGAAACGACGTATTTGATTGATCTCCTGAAGCTTTATGTGCAAAGTAGTGCCATAAATTCTTCTGAACTTTTGTTACATGCTGAATTCATCTTGAATATCTATTTGATTTTGATGTTGAATTCCAATATACAAGTCCAGCTTGCATATCTTGTTTACGGTTTGTACAATACTGAGGGATAGTTCTGCTGTAAACAAAATATCTGTAGAAGTTATTTTTAAAATAACAATTTGACTGTGAAATTGGAAAACAAATATTTTCTTCTTATTTGAGATTTAAGATGTATGCACATCTGTACATATATTAGGAGCAGAAATCCATATGCATGGAACACGATAGTTAGATCTTTTGGGAGGTTAAAACCCTGCATTTTCCCCTTGGAAAATGTCCATTATTATTTATTCAATAAATTAAATAATAGAAAAGTTTACTTTTACAATAGATTGTCTGGCTATCCCAATATAGTTGTGGAATTTAGTTAACTCCAAAAATTTTTGCCGTTTGAATTAATTCATAGCCAGCTTCAATAGCCTCGAACAACAATACCATCGCAAGGTACAAGGCACTTTATTTTCTAACTAAGAGCACATCATTACACAATTTCTCTTGGGGAAAAAAACAAGAAGAAAAACACTCAATCTTAGAGACCAGCACAACAAGAAACCACATCAATTTAGTTCATTTTATTTCTAATATTTGCAGGCACTTCAAATCACATCACATGTGATTGCTGCACTATAGAGTGCCCTAATACACATCTAGTACTCCACAATGATCTTCCCAGTAGCATGGCCATCCATAATCTTAGCCCAAGCATCCTCAACGTTACTTAAATGATATTTAGAGTCTATTACAGTCTTAAGTTTCCCATCCTTGGCCAAATCAACCAGGTATTGAAGATTTTCACCTTTTGGAATCATTACCATAGGCACAAGTTGCTTCTTGGAAAAGCTAAGTTTCTTTAGAACAAATGTCATCAATCCACTGAGAGTAGGCGTTATATCTATAACCTTCCCATGAGTACTCAAGTTAGGCTCAAACGTGGACCATGGAATCCCCATTGCACAATGTATCACAACATCATATTGCTGACCTGATGGACTCTTCAATGCAGCACCATCTGTGGTCTTATAGTCAATAACCTCATCAGCTCCTAAGCTTTTGATTAGTTCAATATTGCGAGCTCCACATGTGGCTGTCACATGAGTGTTTCCCATTTTTGCCAGTTGAACGGCATAGTGACCTACACCACCGGATGCTGCAGTTATCAAAATGTTCTTCCGGTAATGATCGCTTCCGTCGAGTTTGATCCCAGCTTGGATGATTGCCTGGTGAGCTGTGAGACCAGCAACAGGTAAGCCTACACATTCTGAAGCTAAGACTTCATGTGGCCTTAATGCTGTGACACTCTCTTTAGCAACACAAAACTCAGCTAGCCCACCACCATTCTATAATAAATCAATATCAAGAACCATAAGATAAGTCTTTTAACCTAGCTTGAAGGAAAACAATAATAAAAATTATTATTAACTAATTTACATTTCTTAAAAAAAATCTCAATTTTTTTTAAATTTTCATATCTCTTTTGTCGTACTCTTAAGTAAAATAAATATAATATTTAATTTATTTAAAATACATTCATTAATTACTTGAGTGGAATATAATAAAATAATAGTATATTAAAAAAATATAAAACATATTTAATTTTTTATATTTTAGATCAAGCAAGGCTTTTAAAAGATGCTCTATATTATAGTTCGAAGAGAGTACAAGGCATTAGTAATTATTTTACAATTATAAAAAAAATTTAGGTGAAACATTAATGTCTTAAACAATTTACATCTTTCTAATTATATCCTCATTAAATATTTTATATAAGTGTTTTAGTAATGATAATTGAAATTCCAATGTTGTAGTATCATTTTTTTAAAAAAAATAAATGATGTAAGGGTATGGTGAGAAAAATAATTATAAAAATTATTTAATTCCCTATATTTTAGACAAAATAATGCTTCTAAAATATATCTTATATTATAGTGCCGAGAGAGTATAGCATGAGCAATGTGGAAGTATAGTTATTATTTGTGTGCAACAAAAAGACTTGAGGTACTTACAAAGGAGTTAATCCAAGACACAACTGAATCACCAGGCTTGAACTTTTGAACCCCTGAGCCAACCTCAATAACCTCTCCTGTTACATCCAATCCTGTTCCAACAAGGAATAGCCTCAGTGCAATTATTCTTAAGTTTTTGCAATGCATAAATTAAATTAATTTGATATTATTCTTTGTGAGATGTGCAATAGAGATAACAGAGATTTTTTTTTTGCCCACTTTTTCAATATTTAAATTTGGCTAAAATATGTTCAGAATTTAAAAAAAAACTGCAGGAGTTTCACGAAAAAATATGTGAAGAAAAAACAGAAACTTCATGCACGTTAAAAAGATTATCCTATTTATAATTTGTAAATAATATGATATACTACTAATCTCATACAGTATATTGATGATTTAATCATGAAAATTTAAGATTATAAACCCTGTACTTTGTATGGATTTTGGTGTGAGCTGTCCTATTCTTGATCAATGAAGTTGTGCGGGTTTTATAAATTTTTTAGAAAAAATATAATAGTTGGTTGCTGTATTTTATTTTTTAATCCTTCTAATTTTATTTTATTATGTCTAGTCCTTTAGTTTGATTTTCTTTTTACATTGTCAGTTCTTATTATTTTAAATATATATATATATATATATATATATATAAGGATCGGACCATGAGCTGGCACGACGAAGTTAATTTTGCTGAACTATGCTATTGGTTTTATTGACATGTACTTAATCTCATTTTCAACTTTCACATCCTGTTTAAGTTAGATATAAAATGAAGCTATTTTTTCTCTATATTTTTTATTTTTAAATTAAAATATATAAAACTCCTTTGAATTATGAGCAGCTGCATTGAACCTTTTATCTTTAAAAATTTAAAATTAACTTATCTAATTTATTATTGTTATTATTTTTTACCATAGACAGTCCTTTTTTTACTCCTTGGTTATCTTCCTAACCTGGGAGTCTGTGGTTTTGACCCAAAAAAAAAAAAAACATGGGAGTCTATGGTAAATAAATAAAAAAATTACACAAATTAATTTTAAACTTTTAAATATGAGAGATTCTATATAACTGTCTTAAAGTGAAAGAAAGTTTTATATATTTTAGTGTATTTTTAATCATAACCAGTCAATTTATTTCTCTAACAACATATTTTTACCATGTAAATAAGGAGGGTTAACAGAGTCACATTGAAATTAGTCAATGATAACTCATAGTCTTTACATGCATTTGATTAACATTATAAATGGATCAAACTAAAAAAACCAATAACAACGAAACAAAATAGAACTAAAAACAAAACAAAAAATTAAAATACAGGGTTCCTGCTATATTTTGTCAAGTTTAAATTATGGATGAGAAGCTGAAATGATAAAGCAAAATAAGTGTGAGAAAATACCAGGAATGTGGGGAAACTTGCGAGGAAAAAGTGGGCGATAAAAGCCTTTCTGAACTTTCCAATCAAATGGATTCAAACTAGCAGCTTCCACTTTTATCAAAACCTCATCTTTGTTGGCTCTGGGAATCCCAACTTCTTCATGCTGCAATCATATTATATTCATTATTAGCATATCTGAATATTACAAAATTACAAGTAAAATTGCTGAGAGTACTTTAAACAAGGAAGTTCATTTCCCAAGCCTATGCGCACATGAATAAAACTGCCAAATAGCCGCGTAGCTTAAACGGCATGTAACTTCATGCCATTATCAAATCACATGCCATTCTAAATCAATAAAATATATATATCAAAAATTATTTTTTTCTTCTAAACTTTTTTTTTTTGTTCAGAGAAGTGCGGTAAGCATCTTGTGCCAAAAGTTGATGCAATATTCCCTCTAAACAATTTTTCATAAGCAAAATCACCCTTTTATTAAAGACCCTTCATCTTCTCTATTATTTGTTAAAGTTAAATAGTTGTAGAACCCACGTAAAATAACAACTAGGCATTCTAATACATTTTGCTGCCGTTTTGCTGCTAAAATTAGGCAAGTTCTAGCCACTATTACTTCTAAACCCTTTGGTTCTTGTCAAATGATTAAAATGGGTTAAAAATGCCTTGTTATCACGATACCTAAGTTTCATAACTATTCAACTTTAGAAAAATAACAAAGAAAATGACGGGTCTCTCATGGTAGGATGATTTTGCTTGTAAAAAAATTATTCAAGAGAAATGTTATCTCGCTTTAGTATAAAATACCCAAAATTCCTTCAAAAAAAAAATTAGGGAGACAAATGATTTTTAGCTCCAAAAACAGAGAGAGGTCACGAAAACTCCTTCCGAGTTGGAATCTGACACGCATCGGAAATGAAACAACAACAACAGTTAGAGCGTATGTATGTTTGGTTTTGTGTTGAAAACCACCAAAAGCATAATTTTAGCAAGAACAAGTAACAAGAAAACCATAATTTTAACGACTTACTCGCATCACATGAAACCAAACACGTAAGCATCAAGTCTTGATTATTTTGTTTATCAACTAACTATTCAGATATATCAACGCAAAGGAACATGGAGAAGAAGAAGAGGGGGAGGAGGAGAATGAAGTGATGAGAAAATGAAGAAGAAGAAGAGATACCTTCAAGCCAGAAGGTCCTCCGCCATAGGCACTGTACCGAACCGCACGCATAAGCTTCGCCATTTTCAGATTCAGTAATGGAGTCCAGCAAGCAGGACCATGCTGTTTCCAACCCAAATCATTTCATACCGACATATCAATAATGTAAAATTATGTGCAATTAAAATAATCTGCAAGGCCCCACATGATTCGGAAATAATGTCAGTTGGGACTACATGACAAATTTGAAAATTTAAAAATTAAAGCTAGATCCGCAGGGAAAAAGATGGATTAAAATTAAAATTGAATCTTAGCTAAATTACGGTTATCAACACATTTTTTTTACAATGTTATCACGAGTCTCATATTGAGAGATCACATTGATAAAATATAATTTATAAGTTAGCTAGGCACCCTTCCCTTATGAGGCGTCTTTTGAGGGTGAGTTCTATCCAGATGGCTTGTGGTTGTGACATTGATACTTTTATTGAGAGTTGCCTTTTGCAGAAAGGGCTACCCATGGAGGGGCTGACCGGCCGAAAGTCGAGTGAAGCATGTGGAGTGTGAGCCGTTGCGAATGTCAGCTCTTAAAGGATGTGCTATGTCACGAGTCCCACATTAGGAGGCTACATTGGTGAAATGTAATTTATAAGTCAACTAGGCACCTTTCTCTCCACATTGGTGGAATGTGGTTTATAAGTCAACTAGGCACCTTTCTCTTATAAGGTGTCTTTTGGGGATAAGTTCTATCCAGATGGCTTGTGGTTGTGACAAATGTTCCCTTCAATTTGAATTTTTAAAAAGGGTATAATGTGACTCATACTGCTAGTAAAAGTTAACTTTGAACTATTAGTTAGTTAAAAAAATCAAAAATTATAAAAAAATAATTAATGAAATTTTCTGAGTCATTTTCTATAATTTTTATATCATTATTTGTAATTTTTAGGCCTTTTTTATTTTTTTATTTTTGAATCAACTAACAGTTAAAATTTGTTTTTACTAACTTAGATTGTATTATTTTTAAAATTTAAAAAAAAAATATTATACCACAAATGAATTTAGGATGTGAGAAGATGCTGATTTTATAAGTTAGCAACTAATTTTTCTTTTAACAGAAAAAAATTAAAGGAATTTTTTGATAGATGAATTTAAATTTAGATGAAAAAAATAAAATTTTAAGTTTTTACATTTTACTCAAATTTTATTATAGATTTTTATATTTTTTTTAAGTGTTTCAAGTCTCTTATATTTTTTTTAATATTTTAAATTCTACTAGAAGTGATATTATAGAGATCTAAGGTGTAAAGGAATAAAAATGTAGGGAACTTGAAATATTAAAAAAATATAGTAATTTATAATTATATTCAAGTAAAGTATAAAAATGTAAAGTTATATATTTTTAATTTAGATATATCTCACATTTAAATTTATTAAAGGTAGATCCAATGTAGGTCCACAGTTGATTTGATGGGGAGAAATGATCTTTTCAGGGGGTAAAAACAGTAAAGCCAATGAATGAGGCAATGTGCCCGACAAATGCACCTAATCATCTAATAATCCAACAAAAAGAAATATATAAAAACTAAATCTGCGATCATGTTTATTACTTTTGATTTAACCAAATCGATATGCATCTCGATAATCAAGAATAATTATTATTTTTTTAGAAAAGAACAAAAATACGAAAAATTGTTGAATTTTAAATCAAAACAACTCAATTATTATTATTTCACTTAAAATAATTTAATTATTATAATTTTTTAACTCATAACTCAAAAATTTTAAAATTTAATTTTTTAGATAATCTTATTTTCTCTTTCTTAAAAAATATAAAGCATGTTTAATTGAATATCACTTCTAATAAAATAATTATTTATTTTTAAACTAACTATATTATTTCATATTTATCCCTATTTAATAAGATGTTTTATCCTAAAATAAATATAAAATGATTCATTCTATAAGGACACTAAAAAAAACAATGATTATATCTTGAAGGATTAAACATGTCTTATATTTTTACATATTTAACTTTTAAAAAAATACTTTAAATTTTTAAATGAAGAGAGTATAATTTAATAGTTTCATTAACTTTATTGAATCCTAATGAATCAAACTAAACTTATTAATCATTGAGATAATCCTTACATTATCCATTTTCAACCTAGAGTTTGTTCAAATAAACAAACAATCGGATAAAATACTCAAACAATTTATAGCTACTATTCCAACAACAATAATATATTTTCAAATATTTTATTCTGTATAAGGTTTTTAAAACTGAAACTTTAAAAACTCTCACATCACACTAAAAATATAGTATAATGTAACTAACAATTACAATCTCCTCCTTCAAATATAGAGTCGGGAAAACGGGTCAAGCCCGTCGGGTTAGCTCGTTTAAGCCCATATAACAGTAGAATCAAATTTGTAAATAGGACTTCAAAATGATAAATCGGGCTTAAACGGGCTAGTCGGTTTAATCTAGGGCTTAAAAGGGCCGGCCTTGCAGGGCCGAGGGCCAGCCCGTTTAAGCCTGCATATGCATTTTTTTAATTAATTTTTATAATTCTTACTCTTTTTAGATTTGAAAAAAAATTAAACTAAATTTTACTCCAAATCACATATTAGCCCATATTTACTGAGGATGGAAAGCAAAAAAAAAGAAAAAATAGCAATAAAGAATCACTGATAAAAAATTATATTAGTCAAAGATCACTTGTTGTCAAAATTTGAGTAGATACTTGTGGATTCAAGTTAGCCTTTATCAATAAGTATTCATTTAGTTTTTAATAACAACTCATTTTAAATTAATAATATTTCATTGTAACTTGTTTTTCATTTAGATTTTGACAACAATTGATTCTTAATTGATATAAATTTCATACAAAAATCCTTGATTGCTATTTTCTAAAAAAAAATACAACTTTAAATCCCTTAATTCATCTAGATCCATGATAATAATTAATTCAGTTTAACATTTACTCTTTTAATTTTGATTGGGTGTTTGTTAGCTTAGCCGATCCATTGCTTATTACATTACTATTATTTTATTTGTGTTTTTAGTTCATTTAGATGTTATTTAGTTAGTTTTTTTTATACCTTTCTTGATTGAGTATTATATTAGAATGAAGTAATTTTTTATTTGGTTAAAAAATTTTAAAAAAATAAAAATAGTTAAAAGGGCCTAAAGCCCGCAGGGCCGATCCTGAGCTCATTATATCAAGGGTCGAGCTTCGAATATCAACATCCTAAAGAGAACTCGGATTGGCTCTTTTAGGCCCGAGCCTTTTAAGGGCCGACCCTATAGGGTCAGGCTGGCCTTTTTTGCCAACTCTACTTAAATGACATTACATAAATGCCCAAAGTTTTTAGAGTAGGTAATTTGAACGTGTCAAACTTATTTAAGTTGGACCAAGTAAAAAGTAAGCGTATTCAAATAAAATTTAAAATATTTTAACATATAAAAAAATTTATATAGTCAAGTTTGACTTTTGCCCTCCATACCTTTGGGCTTATTCAAGTTAATCCGAGTACTTGAACCGTTAAATATTATCTTTTTCATTTTTTATATTATATTATATTATATTATTTTAAAAATTAATATTTTTAATTTTAATTTTAATTTTATATTATTTTATTGATAATTAAAAAAATTAGGTATTTAAGTTAAGTCCTTCGAGCCTGGACATAATCTGAATTCTTTGGATTTATTTGAATATCTCAAATAAATTTGGAGTAAAAAAAGTTTCTAAACTCTTAAATCTGATTATAAAATTTTTCAAACTTATTCAAATTGATTTATCAGATTTGGCTCGACGCTTTTTTGTCTGTTTTGAGGTTTCTCTGTGGTGCGTTCGAGAAGGAAAGAAATGGGAGAATAAAATATTGGCCACCTAAAAAAGGCAACTGTAACTGTGGGCCCGCTATTAAATTCTCATTATCATTCCTTTTTTTCTCTCTCAAATTATTTATATAATCTTACCTTTTATAAATTGCATTTTTTCACTGTTTTTATTATAGTGTGCTTCTCCAATTTTTTTATAAATTATTTTTATCAATATTTTAAATATCAATATAAAAAAATAAAAAATGAAAATATATAAAATATTAAATATATTATTATATAATAAATTTAAAAAGTAATGTTATGTTATTTTTTATGAAATATAATTTTAAAAATATTTTTTTAATATTATTTAAAAAATTAAACTTTAATTTATAAATAAAATTAAATAAATTTTTTAAAATGTATTTTATAAATAAAATCGGATGGAATAATTCCTCAAACAGTCTTGTATGGTGTTTACCCCCGGTTGTTTGTTTATTATTGTGGGTCCTTTTGCTGGAGTAATTTGTCTTTTACATACATACATACATACATATATATATATATATATATATATATATATATATAAATGACTGGTTGTAATATCTGTCCATGCGTCCTTGTTTAATAATAAAAGGCAATTTATAACTGTTCCGTGTACATCATAATTTTAATGTCCTTATACATATTTATTAAATTCCAATTATTTGTTCGTTGTTGGTTACTTAGTGCCATAATTTTCCAACTTTTTTAGTCCGCCTTTTTCATTTCCATATTTTTTATTCTTTTAAGAACATTTATATAATTTATTGGCTCTCTATATTGGTTTCTCGGATTTTTCAACAGCCATGCTCTCTCTATTTTGTGCAGAAATAGTAAATTATTATTTTTCTTGATAATAATTTTTTTGAATAATCATATTTGAGATATAATCGAGTACTTAAATATTGACATTTCTATTAACAGAAATTCAAACTTCTAGTTCTTTATATTGTAAGGAATTAATATCTTCTGCTAGATCTAAATTTCATCAATAAAAAAATATTTAAATAAAAATATAAATTAAATTCAATCTATATTTATAAAAAAATATCCCCTTTATTCCATAAGAAATGTAAACAAAAAATTATTAATCCAAATTTATTTATCAAATCAAATGCTAAGATATTAACACTATTACGGACACTTAATTGTAGCCACAAATTTACTTGTTTGATCACAATATTAAAACTGAATGATAAATGATTTTATTTTTTAAAAAAACTGAATAATAAGGATATTTTGATCGATTTATATGAATTATAATATGCGTGTTTATTTATATAAA